GAAATGTACAGGGGCAGAGCTCCCCCCACCTCACACCCACTTTTGCAGCAGCACTGTGAGACCAGATACAGAAGGAAAATGTTCCTACTCCTTTTCAGCAGCCTGAGAGATGAGGTTTCAGATTTAATCTGTTGTCTAATAGCCAGAGGCCGATACAAAAGATGGAGCCTTCGGCAGATTACAAGGATAGCATCTTGGTGAGACTTTTCCAACAACTGGGAAGGGAGGAGTTGACTGTCTGATTTGGGCATTGTTCTTGGACACTTCCATTTGCAGTCTTTGCCTAGCACGTTTAGGCCCATAGCTATCAGGTGTCTGATAAAATTTGTAAGCATTGGGTGTGAGCACTATGCTAGAAAAGCAGTGCAGAGTTCTGAGACTATGGCTTGGTCTACCTGTTTAAGTTGCACCTGTTTAAATTCAAGCTGTTTTTAAACCCAATTAGTTACACTAGGGCAAGCCCTGTGGTGGACAGACTTGTTTTCTATTCCCAGTCAACTGAAGCTAAACCAAAAAAAAAAAACCCCCACTGTTAAACTGAAATAAATGTGGCAACATAGGCCTTGTGTAACGCCAACAGACCCCAGTAGCTAGCAGGCGGGATCAAACCTGGGACCTCTGAAGCTGAGTGCATGAGATTCTACCGTTAGCTAATGCTGTAGCAGACTCAATCTCTAGCTGGGCTAGGTGCCACTAAAGGAGGACAGAGCACCACACCAAGCAGGCATGGGTTACACTTGCACCGGTATAACTAAATCTGTTTAAATTCAGATGTTAGGTTAAACTGGTGCAACTTTCTTCCATAGACAAGCCCTGATTAATTTTGGAATGTAAAGCAGGAGAAGAAAAGAAACAGGAAATGTGCACTCCAGCTATTCTGGACCAGCAGAGCAGCTCATCAGCAATCGTGGGAAGTTGCTGAAATTTATAGCATCATAGGAACTGCTCTAAGTTGTGCTAATGAACAGCAAGAATCCAGAAACTACAACAATGACACAAAGCCAGCCTTCCCCCATTCCCTTTCAGCTGCAGCTTCTGAGCTGCACATCTCAGAATTGCAGGCTCAGGTGCAGCCTTAACTAAGGAGTGGTGACTTCCATTCCAGAATAGCTTTGTGCTACGCACTAAAAAGTTATTCCAGACATGCGTCAAACCTATAAGAAAATCTCAGCAGCATGGATTTACAATGCATTATGTGAAAAAGAACCTTGTAATACTATTCTGAAAATGTATAAAGGTGAGATTTGGCACACTTCCATACCTTGAAGCATGTTTGAGCATTTGGCCATGGTTTGAAATAGAGCTGCCTAGATGCAATGGGGTAAGAAGGGCCTTTTTTAGCCTTGCTTTATAGTGTAAAATACACAAAAGCCATTAAATACAACACACTGCATCAAACAGTTAAGCCAACAAAAGCAAGAAAAATTTGGCATTAAGGTTTTCTGTCTTCAATCTATCTCTGTGTCCTAGTATTACAGTATATCTTGGAATCACTCATCTAAGACTCCTGTCTTTAGACACAAGAGCGGTCTTAAGGATGAAGTGGCACTTAATTTCCTTGTGTTTGTTGTTTAAATCTGAATCTTTATTTTACCATAGATTTCTGGGGCCCTATCATGCCATCACTGCACTTGGGGAAATCTTACTGAAGTTCAGAGTGTGACATGATTTAGCAGGGTACAGCCTTTACCAAGTACACCTCTACCTCGATATAACACTGTCCTCGGGAGCCAAAAAAATCTTACCATGTTATAGGTGAAACCGCGTTATATTGAACTTGCTTTGATCCACCGGAGTGCGCAGCCCCGCCCCCCCGGAGCACTGCTTTACCGTGTTGTATCCGAATTTGTGTTATATCGGGTTGCGTTATATCGAGGTAGCGGTGTACCTTAAAGAGAAACCAAAGGGCAACCCTGAGCACTCAAGCAATGTGGATCTCAAGTAGGACTTTAGCATGTTTACAAAACAGATGCTGTAGATGTGGCTGTGGGAAGGTTTAATCAGCCAGGGGAAATCCACACTTTTCTTGTTCGTGAATTGAGGTCTACCCACCAGTCAGACATGAGTCTAGCTACAAAGGGTTAGTTTTCTTAAGCTTCTTCTTTTAATTTGTAATTTCAGTGCATTTCATATTTTGTACTTAAGTAACTTTTTTACCCAATGCTACAAATGGAACAAAAGTGTATTCTGGTTTGTGTTAAATCAGACAGACGTATGCACGTCAGTGGCTGATGTGCTAATACCTAAAGCCATCATCCTGTCTGTAACCCTGTACTGCTGACAGAGCTGTAACAAATGGATAAATTTAGGCCACATAAATGCAGACCAGATTTACTTGCTGAGACCCTCAAGTGTCTGCTGAACATTGAATATTCATCAGCTAATACAATTACACTTAACACGAGTTACATGTTTTAAATGGCATAGAAAGCAGTTTGTACAGTACTATGCTCATAGTTATTGAGCAGCAACTAAACATTATTCCATGATGTATTATCCCCAACAGTTTTTTACCAAAATTGTTAATACATTACAAAAAATACATTACACAATGGATAAATGTCAATCAACCCTTGTACTGCATCCTGTTAAACACTAATACTTTTCTCTTTCATGTAGTACTATTACCTTATTAGAACTAAGGAATTTTAGAAATCTAATTTATTTTTACCATTTCTGCTTGTACAGTGAGTCATTTTTGTTACCATTCAATTTTGTATTACGTGCTGCCATAATCCTGCAACATTATGGTTGCAAATAAGACAGGCACATTTATAGTCATATTGAAAAAAACACTCTTCATTAACATTAAGAAACATCTTCTGGACATTTGTAATGAATAGCAAAGCTCTCTAACTTTTTAAACACACATACAATCTATATTATGAGCCTAAAACTAACTGTCATTGTTTTTTTCCCCCCATCTCCAAGAAATTATATTTCCCTCAAATATGCAAGGGGTGATATAGCATTTTGTTGCTTATTGCACGCAGAGCAATTAAGGTATATCATGCACATGCTGTGTCAGTTTGTGCTGCCAAATTTGTACTATAAGAAGGTATATGATGTCTTCTGCTTCACTGTTTTACATGCAACAAAATGCTGCATTCATTTCCTAATAGAAAAGCTTTTTGTGAGGGGGGGGGGGGGGCTGTTTTAAGTTCCAATCCATGGTACTCCTGGAGTCAATGGAATTCTCTCTCCAAATTGTTCATCCCAAAAATCTGACTTGTCTCCAGAGGGATGCCAATGTCTTTTTCACATTTATTGCTGATCTTACACAAGGTGGAAGGTACATGCCAAACAGTTGCACTGAGGAAAATGGTGCAATTTCTCTTTAAATATAATACGTATGAGACACATAGGAACAGAATTATAGATTTCTTCACTGGCCAAAAATAATTTTTCCGCGTACTCTCAGAGAAATTCAAATAATTTAAGCCTTTTTTGTTTATTTTTTCCCTAGTTCTTAACAATGGTCCCCGTGCTTTGGTTGGTCATGTCTACCCTGAAGACTTTATCTATGTATGTAGATATACTTAAACTGATACCAGAGGAGCAAATTTTCCCAGAGGCTAAATATGCTCGTATCAGATGTTACAGCAGAGGGTAACTATCTCCTTCTGAAAGTCAGTTGTAACGTAATGTGCCCAAAATGGGTAAAGAGCAACACACGCTTTGAAATTAAAAGGTGACGTACCTCTGGCTTATTTCCTTGTAATACCCTTTCTCCCATACCATGCCACCTTTTGGTCTCTGATAGCACCAACATGAAGGGGATGTAGAACTGGAGACCCATACTGCTTTGATCAGGGAAGACAGTGACCATACACACATATACATCACACTATTACAGGGCGTCCATGGCATGGACCTCTCCAGATAAGATACCCTGACCGTAAGAGTCAAATAAAAGAACAAAGTTGTGATAAATCCCAGTCATCCAGATAAAAATATGAAAAAATACATCTTTACTGAGTTGTAAAAACTCCTTTTACCAAAGTCTTCCAACTACTCAATATTCCAAAAAAGCAAAATAAAACTCCAGAACATTTTCAGTATTCTCACATATGAACAATGCTGGCATTGCACAGTATCTGTTAAACTAAGTACACTTTATGCACAGACAGCCTGCTGAAATATGTATAATAGAAAGGTAACATTAAATTAGGTATCTTATTTAAACCTAAGAAGATTTATTATAGATTTCAACATTGGATGCTTACAGTCAACATGAAATCTTTTCTTAAAATAAATATGCATCACAGCTGATAATTTTTCAGCAAGTTTTAAAGATAAAAAGTTAGTTTAGTCAATTGTTACCGTTTAAGTTTCTTACGGATTGTGCACCACACTAGTCTTAATTTTCTTTAAGACTGCATAAGTCACTTATCTCTTATACACTCTAATTTCATTTTCTAAAACTACCAACAATCTCCCACTCCACTGGGGAATTTCCTTAAAATACCATGTATCAAGGCAATACAATCTCTGGCTAACAGACAGAAACTTTAAATGTAAGACTTCAGCTTTACTCTAAACCACTTCACTGTAATAAGATGAAAACTGTAAAAAATAAATCTCACACAGTTATTTATCTAAATTTTAGAGCATTGTAGCATCACTTTCATATATCTCAGCACGCAAAAGGTAAGTTAAAATTGTGTACAAGCACTAACTTCAAAGCTTCAGTACATTTAGAAGTTTATATAACACTGACTTTAAAATACACAATGAACCTCTACAGAAAAATCTACTGAACAAACTCTACCATTCATATCAATCTCAATGAGACAACTACTACATGTACTTGAAAATCCAAACTTTGTGATACATTATCAAATGTTCCCAGACAATTGTTCAATTTACCTTACACAATGTTTGTATTATAGTTGTCCACTTACAAACATTAAAGAACTGCTTGTCTGTTCTGCTGAGCAAACATCTCTACCCATTTTAATTTCCTATCACTATCCACAATTTAAAAAGTTGTTACATACCTGCAGTTAGGAGGAGGATCAAGGGTTATTTCAGCTAGCTCCTTCTGAATTCTGTGGGTGAAATGAGAACAGACACAAAGCATTTGAGATAGTCTATAGAATAAATCAGGAATTACACTGCCCTCTACCACCATGCAGTTAAATGCAAGATTGGCTGTGCCTTCAGTAATGCTAACATGGCTGCTTCCTCTTTGTTCTCAGAGGCATAACCCAAATCCCATAACAGAGAAACTTTGCAGCTTTTTTCTTACTTGATACAGTAAATGAACAGAACATTTTCACCTGATATAGGTAGAAATATCCCACAAGTACTCATAAAAGTAACTATTATCCATATCTAAATGCTTTTTACCAGAGAGATTTTCTTTTCAAGCTTATATGCAAATGAGGGAAGGGGGGGGACTATACAAGCATATTTGACAATGACTTTAAACCAGTGTAACAGAGCTGTAACTGAGACTGAATTAACAAGCTATATTGTGAACAAATACATGTTTTTGACAATATTTTACATGCTACTTCATACAGTATTTAAATAGTGACTCTAAAAATTTCCCAAGCTGCTTTTATTACTGGAATAATTCTTGGAGAATCAACTTTGCTTCTGTACACACCTTTTGGTACATCTCCTCCCCCAAGACAATACAGTATTTTTGCTGTTTTTATATAATATTAGTAAAATAAATCATTATCTTAATCAGAAATAATCCATGATAGTTTCACTGTCTCCTTTGATAGTACACCTCTACCCCGATATAACATGACCTGATATAACACGAATTCAGATATAACACGGTAAAGCAGCGCTCCGGGGGGGGGGGGCTGCGCACTCTGGTGGATCAAAGCAAGTTCGATATAACATGGTTTCACCTATAACATGGTAAGATTTTTTTGCCTTCTGAGGACAGCGTTATATTGGGGTAGAAGTGTAGTTATAGAAGTGTTAATAATATCCAGAATATTTTCTAAACTTTTTGCCAATTAAAAAAGTTATCCAGAAAAATACGCCTGGTTTAAAAGGTGTGTATTAAATTACTTCTAAGACTAAAGAAATTTTGTTTCTTGCTGCTAATTGTCTGTAAAACAAGAGATACTTACTTTTTAGAAAAGAAGGCCCATAAAATAAGATTGAACAGCTGTCAGTATGCTAATGTTTCCAATTTAAATGAGATCAACAGAACCTGATCCTGAAAGACCTTTCAGGAATAGTCCCATTAAGTTCAATTAGATGACTCAGAACTACTCAAGATATGTGGAATCAGACCCCACCATGATTAAGGAAAGTAAAGTTGCACGGAAAAATTCAGTGGTGAGATTTTCTGTACAATACATCTCAAGCTTTTCAAAAGGGCTGGCAAAAGCATTATCTTAAACATATTATACTACAAGTTATAAAAACAATCAAATACGTTAGCTTCTTTACTGAGAGTATGTTCACATGACAAATGGTACAGCTGTAGTGTGTCAAGCAATGTTGCTGTAGTAGTGTACACACTTACTACAGCGACAAAAGGGGGTTTTCTGTCACTTATAGTAAATCCATCCCTTCAAGAGGAGATAGCTAGGTCAATGGATTTCTCCCACTTACCTACCTGCATCTACAGTGGGGGTTAGGTCGACCTAATTATGTCACATGGTACGAAATTTTTCACAGCCTGGCCCCTGAGCAATGTAGCTAGGTTGACCTCAGTTTCAAGTGTAGACCAGGCCTGATTTAAAGTATCTACCTTAGCTATTACTATTTTAGACCTCTATTTCTTTACAAGTACAAAAATCAGTGGAAAATACAGGTAGTATTCTACTCATGGCTAACACTTTAACATTTCAAGGAATATTTACTAAAGTGGAATATAAAACTCCTGAGGTCTTTATAAAAGGTTGAGCTATAGTGTCCATGCTGAATAAGCAAAGCACAAAGTTGTTCAATAGAGAACTGACTCTAAAATTAAAAAATCATTTTCCCACTGTTACTCTTCAGATCTATTTGCTATTGGCCATAATATAATATGTATTCCTAAGGAAAAGTGAATTTAAGGGAAAGGATTAATAAATTGTGTCTTATCTCAAAAGACCACAGCAGATCAAGGGATTTAAAGTCTGCCTGTTTCACATGGCTGAAGTTAAAGAAAATGATCAGTGTGCACTTACTGAAAGCCAGTCTGACAGAAATTTTATATGTAAATACAGATATTTATCAAATAGACTACAAGAGGTTTGTGAAGTTTTTGACACTTAAAGGTAGAGGCTATATATTAATCTCCAGAGTCTGATTCTGCAGGCCCTATTAAGACAAATGTCCTACTGAAGTTGGTAGTTTTCTAAAGGAAGAACTACAGAATAACACATTATATTAGGTTACTGTGTATAAAGGATATACTGTATGTTGGCATGAAAAGGAAGTTATAAGTGCAATCCTAAAACCATCTATTTTTGTGCCAGTTAAGTTTTTGTAAATATTTTTATATTCAATAGCACTGATTGTCAACAGTACACACAATCTATTGAAATACACCAGAAGGATGGTACTCCACACAAATAAAGGAAGAAAGGCTAAGCCTTTGAACTCAGGTGAAAAAGATGTTTATCGTTCTCATACTTCTTGCAAGGATAAAATTCATGTTAGCGAATAAAAGCTTTTAGAAGCCAGTATTTTAATTTTTAAAGTTATAAAGTTCTTAAGTGTCTCTTCCAAAGAAATGTGACAAGTTTATTTAATGGTTAGCTTACTAACCGTCGCATTATTGAAGCTATTGATTGACAGCCACCTAACTCAAAAAAGTTTGTAATTCAGTAAATGACTCCCTAATATAGCTTTGCAAGAATCCGTCTGTCTTAAAAATGCAGTGCAAATATTATAGCTCAAAAAATACAGTGATAGAATGTTTAACAATCACTTCTTATAGTCATTACCTTTTAGCACTAGTGGATAGCTTAGCAGTAGTTTTGCTGGATAGTTTGGTATTTTTCTTCTGTTGGGTTGCAGAAGGTTTTCTTTCTTCTTGCTCTTCAGGTTCTGGTGCTGGTGGGTCCCTCTGATCTGCATCTGAACTACCACTGCTGGTACTTGGACTTTCATCATCTGACCTTTGCCTGTCACTGGACATTGTGGTGAACTTTTGGGGGAGGAAAAGAGAGGGGAGGGGAAAAAAGCAGAGTTCACTTTAGGTTGCAGTTTGACAGTTAAAGTAATATTTACACTTTTTTTTAATATAGACATCTCCAATTTTTTTAAAGCCCACTCACATTTTTTTCATACTTTAGACAACATATCAATTGTCTACTTTGTTCAAAGCCATGAGACAGGGATTTTAGCAGGGTCCTTCAGGCAATGAACATTAATAACTTATGACACATTGTAAGTAACAGACCTCGCTGACAATGTTTTTTAAAAAGTCATTAATACCCTGTAAATATTTACACTGGAGTAGAGTATTTTATTGGGTCCAAGCAGCCAGATTACCCCCTCTCTCTGAGACAATATATTGCCAATAACACTCCGGCCGATTTCAGATTGAAATTTACACTCACTCTGTCTCTTTGTATTTAAAGGGCCGTGAGGAGGAGGAGTGATTTTTTTTTTTTTAAACACTATACATTTAAAACAACTCAGAAAGCAGAAGCCTCGGTTATTTACATGGCCAGCAGCAAGAATTGCATTTGGCCACCACAAAGCTCCTGGAGGGGGAAGAAGCTTAATTAAAACTGCACCTTCTGCAAAGCTTTCAACGCCACCGATTCTTGATCAGTTTCTACAAAACAGACCGACATTTTTAGGGGGGGAAATTATATAGATACACGCGGAAGGCACCCAAATTTGAGGGGGGGGGGGTGCTGAAAAAGAAAATGAAGCTCCTAGTAGGAAATTGCAGCAGGGTTGAAATGCAGCTTTGCACACACACTCGCCCTCTTCTCTCCCCCCCCCCCGGCTTTGTGGGGAGAGATCGAGCTCCCAGCGAGGAGGGTACGGAGGGGTTGTTATGGTAGGAGGCTCTCCAGGATCAGCATGGTGTGTGTGCACCAAGTGAGGCGTGAACTCAGTCCCGGCTCCTCTCTCTCCCGGCCACCGACAGGCAGCAAGCGCTGAAAACAAGAACAAAGCTCCCTCTACCAACCTCCCCCCCCGCGCCTCCTCCTTCTCCTCCTCCCCCCACCAAGCTCGCCCAGGCTCCTGCTGCAGCCACCTAACCCGCTTCTCCTTTACCTTCGCAGGCGTCCTGTCCCGGTGTTAGGTCGGAGGGGAGGGATGGAGGGGGGGAGGGAAGGGGATACAGTATCGGTGGAGGGGCTGGAGGAAGCCGGGGGGATATAAAGCAGCAGAGGAGGCTCTGTGGCCGGGCAGTGTGGAACATTGAGAGTCGGAGCAGGGGGGAGAGACGGGGGGAGGGTGCAGTGCGGCTCGGTGGCCGGAGGGTGGCGCTGGCGTGCCCCCTTTTTGCAAAGCGGGCTCCCGCGGCGGGGCAGGGGGTAAGAGGGGAGAGAGAGAACGCGATCTTCCCCTCGGGGGAAGGAGGCCGGATGGAACGGGGAAGAGCCGAGCGTTCTATCGCCTCCGCCCCCTTTTGTCGCTACGTTCGGATTCAGAATGTTGCAGTCAGCAAAGTTCCAAACGACATGGGGGCGGGGGAGGGGGCGCTCGCTCCCTGGCTGGTAGAGCGCGCCCCCCTCTGGGCTGGGGCACGCGCACGCTCTCTCGCTCCTCTACCTTTGCAGGGTGCGTGCGTTCTCCCGGCCTGGCCAAGGACAAAGAGTTGGTCCCTGTGTAGCCCCCAAGTTGGCATTGGCAGCCTGGACCTTGCTTGTGTGTCTTACTAGTGGCTGGTCCCGTCCCCCATACAAATACCTTTCTCGCAAGCTTGCAACTCCTGAGCAGCCACTACGGGAGGGAGAGCCTGAGATCCTGAAATTACTTCAGTGCCATGCACAAGTGTGCAAAATCCTGCTGGGGCCTCGCCAGAGCAAGGAAACTGACTTGCTCTGCTTTTGCCGGTTCCCCCTCTATTACTCACTGCTGTTTATAGGGATGGTCACTGAACCTGCGGTGTAAAGAGGCAGGTCACTCAGGAGTAAATGTATGTATCTGGGCACTGGGATTGGTTGGGTTTGAATAATATAGTGCCTTAACATACGGCATGTCGAGTCTGAGTGAAAACTAAATCCAGCCAGGTTTTGTCCCCAGCACCAAATCCCACTGCCTCAAATGTTCAGTCTTTCTTGCTGCACCAGCAAAAGCCGGGCCCCAATGTGCCCCAGCACAGGAGTGCCTCAGAAATCCAGGGCCTTCTGGATCCAGCCAATTTTTGGGCCCCAGCCCTGAAATTAAAAATGTGTAAATAGAGAAGATGGTTAACTGCTCTTACTGCCCCTTAAAATTCCAGACCTTGCTGTCCCCTAGCAGCACAGCCCCACAAAAACTCTGATTCGGCATTTGGATCAGTCTGGATTTTGACAAATAATGGCCACAAACCCAGAAACTGTACCATCAAAATAGACAAGAAGTGCTGCTGCTACCTTTCCACAAACAAAAACAAACAAACAAAAAATCTAAACACCCTAGTACAAGAAAGTTGTAAAAACTCTTATTTGGCACCTGTGTCCTAGAGCATCCCGCCAACTTTTGGCTCCATGCCCCCTTTCTTTACATCTAAATTACACAGCTTCTCTTAGTGCACTAGAATAATCCAGGCTTTAAGGTATTATTGTGCAACAGTGCTGCAAAAAGAGGTGGAGATATGCATTTCACAACTATATAAAACAAACAGCAACAAAGTTAGCAATATGTATTCAAAATCCTGTTTATTCTAAAGTACTGGCAACAGCATGCTGATCTGAGATACTCCATAAATGACCAGCCATACAAGCTGTAAAATCTATTTTTTAGGGGTGAGAGGTGTCAAGAATAATGATCACAATATATGCCAGCTGGAGGATCATTTTACAGAGAAGCTGGTTTAGGAGGGAGAGTCATTTCCTTCCCCTGTCTAATCATGCATAGAGTAGTTTCTGGTGGTTACTAGTCCACTATATGATGTAAATAACTAAGCGCAATCAACAGCTAGGGTATTTGTACATGGCAAAAGTGGGGACAGTATGAATCTAGCACAAGAAGAATGAAAAACTGAATATTTCAACCTTGTGCAAGAGATGATCATATTGAAAATTAAATCACCTTGTATTGGAAAATTGATCATAGCCCAACAATATTTGTAGAGTAGATAGTAGCTGATGTGGATGGGTGAGAATGAGATGGGAAAGGACTGTTTAAAATAATGTATTACTTGAAATGTTTGTGCAAAGACCAAATACAGTGATTAACAAGAAATCTCTTTCGAAAAGTATCTGAAGAAGTGAGGTTCTTACCCACGAAAGCTTATGCTCCCAATACTTCTGTTAGTCTTAAAGGTGCCACAGGACCCTCTGTTGCTTTTTTCGAAAAGTGTTGCCCACAAAACAGTGCCACCTTTAGCCACATGACTTAAAACTACTGTATTTTTTTAGGCTTAATGGGAACAAGGAGCCAGATTGTGTACTCTGTGGTCTAAAAGGAATAAACAATTGGATGTGTCTGAGTTGACAGTCCTCTGGGTAACTGAAGTTAGTACAAATGAAAAGTATGCTAAAGGTTTGGTGGAAGAGTGTAGTGATGTGATGTGGAGAAATAGTGGAGGTTTGTTTGTTAAAGTTCGCTATGGAGAATTCCCCGCTCACCACTACAGGCAATTTGCCCCTGAGGTATGCTGTAGAAAATTCCTAGCATAAACAGTATCTAGTATGATGAGCAATCTGGGCATAATTAGTAAAAGAGAGACATGGCAATATCAAAATCTAACAGTCAGCACTACAAGGCTTTTGTTAAGATGTGGATGATGCTACAATATGGTGCCTAGTAGATTCAGATAACTTTGAAAGTCAGGATTAAGTATTTTAAATAATATTTTATTATAGGTGAAAATGAACAATACATCCCAGCTATCCAGAGAAGGATAATTATGAAATGATAATGCAGGTTGAGTATTATTAGACTGGTCAAAGGTTGCTCACCATATCAGCTACCACATACTGGTTCCTGTTTGGCTTTTAGGATGTAAAATGAAAATAAAAAGAGAGCCCATTTAACAGGGATTAAGTGAAAAGACAAACTAGATGTGATTTTTCAGCTGTTTGTATCTTCATCTTCAAACAGATTTATTACAGCAACTTGCTGATGTAACAGATGTTTATTTGAATGAATATTCATTCCTTTGACATCAAGTCCCAAGGGATGACACTTCCCTCTTAAGAAGTTGTGTTTTCCTTTCGTATGTTGTTTATTATTTCTATGTTGTCAGCTGACTTTTAAAAAGGGATTACATAAAAAAGGTATATAAAGTAGGTTATTGAAGAGGTATGGTACAGTCAGAGCCAGAGGGGAAAATACGAATTTTGTTGACAGTAATACGAAAACAACATACCGTGAACTTGGTGACTAATCTTATTCTTCATAATTTGACATCAGCCAGATCACTACTGATGTTCCTATTACGTATGTTCTTTTCCATCAACTCATTACAACTATGAGAAAAGAGCTAGCATTGTGAGGTGCAATGAGTGCAAAGCTCAACTAAGGACAGTTCAGATTGATCTGAAAAGTTCAGGACACTTGCCTGTGAGGGATACCTGCATTTCCTTTCCACAAACATTGAATATGTGCATTGGATGCTGTTTCTTTTGATCCTACCATCAAAAGCACTGTTCCTGGGCAAAATGGAGAGGCATCAGGTATGCTCTCATCAACTCCTGTGGATATCCTTTTCAGAAGCTCAGCTTCCTGGACGTGGCTCAGTGGCTATTGTGACAGAACACAGATGTGTAGTTGTTATTGGTGCATGCTTTGGGCTACACGCATGTGGGCATCCCTTGTAGGATTAGGAACTCATGACTTAGTCCCCCATTCCCTCAATTTGGCAGATGGTGCAGTCGTGGAAAGTAACTAATTGCCTGACACTTTTGTCCCATTCTGACAGCAGAATCAGCAGGGAAAGCAAGTTTCCCCTTCTAGCAGCAGAACTGGGAAGAGAAGGATAACTCATTGCTTGACTCCCCTATCTCTAATAGCATAAGGCCCCACCAATGATAACAGAATGCCAGGGTTGTGGCAGTTCATGTTTAGGAACAGCTTGGCTGACACGGTCAGTTGTCTGCTCCATCTTCATCAAATGCTCTCATTCCTGGCTGTAAATGACTCTCTGAATAGCAATAAGTATTTCTGTTCGATGTATGTTTCCATACCACACTATGGAATCTGAATACCTGTTGAAATTCTACTGCAGTGCCAGAGCTAGAAACGCAACAGTTGCAAAGTTAAAGGAATGAATAAAGTATTTTTAGGACAGTGGTTACTATGAGATAAAAAGGGATTGCACTTATATTATTATTTGATATTTGTATTATGGTAGCAACTGAGGCACCAACCTAGAAGCGGCTGAGTACACAATAATTATAGGATAAGGCCCATAAAATATTTGTATTTATTGTCAGGTCCTCTGCACTGGTGAAAAAGTCAGCATGGCCTACTCACCTAGTCTACAGTGGAGAAGAAGTATCTGCCTCAAAGAATCATGATCAGCTGACTTACCTGAGAAGCACAGGATGCCTGCAAAAGTTTGAGGAAGCTATAAGGAATGGA